TACAAAGCTTTTTTCACAATATTCTTCATATTTCATTCAAAAATAAAACAAAAGTACACATAGAGTAATGTTTCATGCTACGACAAAAACTATCGATTGTTTTAGTAATCATCCAAAATATCCCAAATAGCGATGCAACAGTAATAAAAAAAAGCCACCGACACAATTATCACTGATGACACCAATTAATATATGCAGCGACTAATTAATGGTGAAAGTCATTTTTTTGATACCACCAATTTTCATAGCATAAATTCGGCTAAATCATAGCAAAAAATCTTACTGTAGGTTTCACAGACGTTTACCACTTTCTTGGTTTTAGTGATCACGATTGAAAGCGTATATGTACACATTTGGATCGCGTGCCGTCACTGTTACATCTCTAGTTTGAACAAGCTCGAAAGTAGTTTTTCAAAAAACTGCATCAACTAACGAGGGTACATATCCAACTGTCGGATGCCGTTCAATCCCATCTTTTGACTGTGTGTAGGGCTCAGTGAGACTAAGAAAATCCTAAAAAGATTCGGACTCAAGGTCTATTGGCGAAGAGTTATGGCCATTTTACCGAATTTTCAGCCTATATGTAGGCATTCATAAGAGAATCAAATTACGAAAATTCGGTCTGAAATTTCGCCTATAGATAGGTTTAATAGTCGTTAGAATTTCCTGAAAGTTTCAATCAAAACGGATGTTCCTTTCTTGAGATACTGAATTGTCAAAAAAACTCGACTTTTGTGACCTGTCTATGAAAAGTGACTATCTTTTGACAATCCAGTATCTCGAGAAAGAAGCATCCGTTTTGATTGAAACTTTCAGGAAATTCTAACGACTGTTACACAGTGGGCAACTTTCGCATACCAGGCGGACATGGCATTTTTGTGTTCGACAATGAGTTTCTATTGCTCAGAGGTGATTAAATATATCACTTAGAAAATCACCTTTAAGAAAATAAACCATTTCTTAAAAAAAGTTTTCCCAAAAATTATCCGCCGGGTACCGTTGCCACGTTTTTCGAAAAACATTTTTTGTTATGAAACATAATGTTTCGCATACCATACGGCGTAGTTTCACGCGCTGACTGCAAATATCGACTTAGTTTTTCGCTAGAAAGTTATTTTGTGGAAAAAATAGGGATTTAGGGTCAAAAACCAGAGTTTTTTGGAAAATCCGTAACTTCGTAGACGTTCACTATTGCCTTTTGACAGTATAGACAAGGAGAGATTCTGTATGAAGGAATATTCACTCAACGTTTGAGCTGAATCCGATTGAAGCTGTTTGTAACGTTTACAAAATCGAGAAAGCCAATTTGTAGGAACATTTTCAGCACAATAGTCAAAAACTTTTTTTCAAAAAACTGCTTTTTATTATATATGATTGGATACAGCTCGATGAGCTGATTCCTAATATCACCTTGGCTTTACACTAAAATGATGTTGTCTTGACAAAAATATGGAAAGGGTAATTTTCAAAACCTTGTCGCTGCCTAAACACCAACTTATTTTTTCAGAAACACTTACTATTATATATGATTCGTTGCAGTTTGATGAGCTGAATTCCAATATTACCTTAGTTTTGCATCAAAATTTTCTCAAATTCTCAAAACTAGAGATTCCCAGACAGAAGCCTGGTTTTTCAGGATACCTCTCGTTTGACCTGTGTTCACAGATGCAACACGGCGCTATGACCAACCATAAACCATACATGGGAGAATAATTGATGAAAAATTCAGCTCAATCGAATTAATACTCTTTGTAGCGTGCACAAAATACGATATGACTGATTTTTCGACCTATTTTTGGCCCAGTAATCACTTATTTTCTATTCCATTTATGATTCGAACAAAATAATTTTTTGCGCACAATATAGCTTATGGTCCAATCATTCGTTTCAGATAGTTTTTCATTTAAAAATATTTTGATTAGTTGATACAAGGAATGGTCTCCGCATACTTTACGGATTTTTGAACAATTTTTTGATGATGGGCTTTCCCACGTTTCGAATTGATTTCTGGGAATCTAGTTTCAGGATAAAATAAACTAACCATAGACGTATTCATTCCAATATTTAAACTTTGGAAAATAGAACTTGAGATCATGTCCGCCTAGCTGCCCACTGTGTATTAGACCTATCTGTAGGCGAAATTTCAGACCGAAATCTCGTAATTTGATTCTCCTATGAATGCCTCTCGCATAGGTCGAAAATTCAGTAAAACGGCCATAACTCTTCGCCAATAGGCCATGGGCCCATACCATTTTAGGATTTTATTAGTCTCACTGAGCCCTACTCACAACCAAAAGATGGGATCGAACGGCGTCCGACAGTTGGATATGTTCCGTCGTAAAGCATTTTCTCGGAAATATATTCCAATCCCAAGATAAAAGGAGTTTCAGAAAAAATAAAGATAACTGTAACCTCTTAATCTGCGCAAGCAACATACAACTCATTTTTTTAAAAATTTGCTTTCTCTTATGCTACTTCATACATCATTTATACAATAAAAAAAATGGACTCATACATGCCGAATAACTTAAAATTTATTTTGTATTATAGATTGTCTTACAAACTAGATTTTTATGATAGATCGATAGACGAATTGAATGAATGTTCTATGTCAAATATAAAACATTGAGCTGAATCTTGGTTAGATATTGAAATAAATGTCTTAACATCATGCAATAACGCAAAAAAAAATTCAAAAGATAACTTTACTATTCTGTACTTTATTAGCTAAAATAGAATTAATGATAAAATATCTTAATTTTATTACTTTTCTTTATGCTATTTTGCTATTGTATCTAAATTGCAACATTAGAAAAAAAAACTAAAATTCGAATTTCTAATCAGCTGCTGATATCTATCGTAAAATCATTCGATTTTCGGTTGGTAAGTTTTTTCCTTTTTGTCATTATATTTAGCAAGTACTTTACTTCCATATTAGTTACCCCTGTAGCACTCGACACGTATTTTCCTTTATTTAGGTCATCGATACTTTCTGCATGGTATTTTCGTTGTTAATGTATATATTTTCTGTTCTAAAGAAGTGTAAAAGTGTAAACAATGTGAATGTATTCATATTTACATGTTCAAGAATTGGTTGGGAACCAATTAACTATATCGAAAATATGTTTAGATTATGCATTCTTCTTTCATAAAATCAATCATTTCTGATATGATTTTGTTTCCATGAACAGGGCTTATATTTTCAGCATATGAATGTGTGTATGGAATGGAGTTGTTATGAATGCAGTCGATAAGTAACCAATTGTTAGTCAGAGAGCATTATTATCTTATTGCGTATTTACAATGTATGTACTGTTACGAGTAATAGATGTATATACGCGATGGTTCGAAAGTAGAAAGAATTTACTAAAAGATAATAGAGAGTACAAGAGAGAACACGCATAATCCATACATAGAAACAGAGAATTAAAACAATAAGCGAATCTGCTTGAATATAGTAGAATAGGAGAACATATATATATTTACGCGTGATAGCAGAGCAAGAGAAGATATAGATGAAATACATATACGCGACGACGTCACAAGAATGATAGAAAGAAAGAAAGAGAATGCACAAGTGATGGGACCACTTAACCTTGCTTTGTTCACCGAAATCTCACTACCCATCCCACGCCCTTACACTGATACCAACACACTAATAAAACACATTTCATCAAAGATATACGTTATCGAGATTTACATTATCAATGACATCATTGCTTGACTTGATTACTGTCTTGACAAGAGTATCATTTCTTGATGCTCAATCCTTTGCTTTGTTAATTGTGATCGCATATACCTGGAGCTCCCTTATGTTTATAAAAAGTTACGACTGATACAATTTAGAATTTACTGCGCATAATTTAACTCTGTCCGCCATTTTTGCCTCAAACAAGTCATGTGGCCAATAGTTTTGATTAAATCTTGGTTTAATGAAAAACTTTCAGAAATATAGAAGGACGAAGTAAGGCTCACAAAAATGAATGAGAAGAATTCTTCTCCAGGTAAAAAAGAGTTATATCGTAAGAACAGTTCTAGTCCAATAGCTTACTTACGATAGATGAAAGTTTAAATAAAAGAATCCTTCATAAGTGAATACCCATTAAAAGACCATTTTTTTTTGAAGCAATAATTTTGTTTAAGACGGTTCATAGATATATACGAACAAAAGCATCGATTCCTGTTCGACAAATCGGGCAGGAGCGAAGAGAATGCCCACAAGGAACACATGTGGCCAGATGACCACAGGGCATACAAGCAAGACGCTTTTCTTCCTCTAGACACAAAACGCAAAGATTGGATGATAACGAACTATTCCCTTGATTTTTTGCCGGTAACGTTATTTTCTCTATTTTGATATCTTGTTTTTTATTAGTGTTTACTGTCGACCTCTTGGAATCTTCATCATCCGGAGTCGACTCGGATGATGTAGACATTTCAACGTCCACACTACTAGAAGAGTTCGTTAGTGTTGATGTACACGCATCTTGTTCACGAGCAACAATCTCTATAATATTATAAGAATCAACAAACTGTTACATGCGAGCTCTGTTTTCAAATACCTGTGTTTACTCTTTCACGAATCTTGTTCATTGCTACACTTGGAATAATAATATTCTCTTTCTTGCCATCAATGCGTTCAATCTGCTTCTGTAAGATTAAACATGCCACAAACAAATCACAGATGTCCATGAAATCATCGCCTGGCATGTAAAATGACAAAACATTCCTGCATGTTTTTTTAATAAAATGACAAATAAGATATTAGCTTACGCTTTAATCTAAGCTGATCTTCCCAACAGCGTTTGATGATGGACAATTTATAACTGCGGTCAAGCAGGCTTTGTGAAATTGGCAAATCAAGCCGTGCCGCTACGTATCGTGATAAAGTACTCTCATCTTGTATATTAAGCTGTCCTCTAGCCGTAGAAACATCACCACTTGCGAATCGTCTACTAGGTTCATTTGCATTTGTCTTTTCTAAATACAACAACGTACAATCAGTAACTATTGATTGAGTTGAACAAAAAAGACGGTAAACCTTGTTGAGCTCTTTTCGATTCTTGAATTTTTCGATATAGGTCTGCACCGCACAACTGTTTAGCATATGCGCAATGTGGAAACCATCGAGCATGTTCAATCATGGGATTATCGTTAGCTCCCCAGTTCTGCAATGATCCATTGCAATAGAAGCATGTCACAATAGTTTTGCTACCTGTATAAAAGAAGCCTGCTCTCACTAGATCATCAGCAGATGGTAAGTTTTCGCTTGACCATGTAGCAAAAGAAGCGTGACGTCTAGGAATTTCAATATAATTTGTATGACATGCAGCGGTATAAACAATTTCATTACTCCTAAATGTATCGTTATTTGGCGTCACTATGGAGTTATCCCTCGTGAGTTGTTCATTAACAATACGAATTGATGATATATCCGGGCGCTGTAGCATTGCAATAACATACGGACAAGTAGGAGAAAGCGTTTTGTGTATTTCACATGGGTCATCGGTATGCGGTGTCCATTGTTGACAAATGACATTGCAGTACAAACAAATGACACGGTCTCCAACATTACAGTGGAAGAACCCAGCTTCGATCATTTGAGCGCTTGAAGGTGATGTTCGATGTGGCCAATGAGAAAATGTTCGTTTTCGTATTTGTTTAAGTATGTCAATTTCGATAAGTCTATATGACTGACTAATTACTTGTATTGTTTCGGTTTTGTGACGTTTAGATGGCTGTTCATCATTCATTAACACTGAAGTTGTTGCAAGAAGATTTATCGTTGAGGAGACAGGTGTTATTCCTTCGGGCACCATAGAGCGAACAAATGCACATTTGGGGCTGCGTTGTGCATGAATAGTAAATGGCTTCATATCCAATGTCCACCCGTATACTTCTAGTTCACAAGTATCACAGCGGACCGTGTCCCCGTTGCCTGTATAATTGAATCCAGCAGCACTCATACTTATAATAGAATGCACGCCTTGCTTTTGTAATAATCCCTTGCATGTGTGTATCACTAGACGAAAAGTGTCAAACTTTTTAGAATCGACTGGTAGTGCAAAGTCGGATATCCCTTTTACTGAAGAGAAATTAGTGGAGTATGACTTCGTTGTTGTTAAAGATTTGCCACACAGAATTCCTTGTCTAGGGTCGTATGGTACATCAATCGGATGTTGTCTTTGTATCATTTAAAAACCCTCAAGTTATTACCACGAAAGTCTTGGTTCAATGATCATTTACTTTTCTCCACTTTTCACGTTTGAATATTCGACTAGACTTAAAAGTTACAATAAGTTCTTTTAAGTTGTTCTGACCCTAATTAGACAAGGATACTTTTACATATTTGTTGTGAAAAAATAATTTCATTTTACCCAAACTAATTCCAATATTTGTTCACAAAATCTTCCGTCACTGGGAAAAAACCAAGCTACGTAATGGTAAATTGAAAGAAAGAGTGAATGTGTTTATCGTACGAGATGGTTGGAAAAAATGACGTCAAATACAGAACGATAAGAATAAAATAAAGTCGATGAAATGAAGAAAAGAAACATGACAGAAAAAGCATTACTAAGGAGCAGACGGAAAGCAGAAGTCATAAATGGAAAATGTAAGCTATCGCTGTCGTCGCCAACATCGATAAGATTTTACAAGTATCGTAACAGTAAAGACGTGGGGCGAGACTACATATGGGTAGAATAATTCCGATTCCGATCACTACGAAAGTGTAACTGGGACTATGAATGACTCAGGTCGCTTATGCCTACTTGTGGCTGTAAGTGTGTCTGTACTGGTAGATGGATTCCAGTGGGGATGTGGATGTCGCTGAGCCGCACGTGAATCCAAATGCGGGTGTACATATTCTTTTTCTCAAACCACTTTCACTCTCCACACGCACACCAATGCTGAGTCTAGAACTTTTAAAAAGGTATGCTATCAAGGTCGCAAACTACGCTTTGAAGTTCATTAGGGGTCGTATCAGCACATTTTTGGGCTTTTCTACTAAAAAAATTGAAAAATAATTCGAAATAAAGGAGCGCTCACTCCTACTACCATCTCTAAATACATCACTGACCTACACACTTTACATCCGCATCCACACACACGTCCACACGCACACATCCATATCGACACCCACACTCATCCACATCCAAACCCTCATCTGCCCAAGCAGACAAAAATTTAAAAAAACGCGTTTAAACGCACAATCGGGAACCGCGACTGTGATCCATTCACGCTCATTAAAAAAACGCAAGAAACGATGTTTTTTGTGCAAAATAGTCAATTTTCAAGCGTGAAAACGGCAAAAATATAAAAAACTGAGCGTTTAAACACGTCGTTTTTTAAATCTAGAAAAAGAGAACGTTTTAACACTAGAAATTTAAGTTTTCCACCGTTTTCACGCTTGAAAAGTGACTATTTTGTACAAAAAACGTCGTTTCTTGCGTTTTTTTAATGAGCGTGAGTGGATCACAGTCGTGGTTNACGAACCAGAACCGAAAACGTTGGGATGTCAAATGAGTCATTTTTGACCATTGTTTGATTCATATCTCACCGAAACCCAAGTCCACGCCGACAGTCAAACCCACATCCTACATCCACACCCTCATAAGTCCATTGGCTGATATCACGAATCTGAGGAAAAGTTTTATAATTCTCGAACGGAACAAGCTAAGAATTTTGGCCTTGCATAGGTCGAAAGAGATAACTTTTTTTCTATTGATTAGTTCTATTAGTAGTCTTAATCAAAAGAAATATAGCTTCAGGATATCTTTTGCGAAAATTGTCAGCAAAACCTCACTTGATTGATTAATTGCTAATCCATCAGATTTCTATATACTTCGATGGCCTCGAGTCTTCTTGCTTGAGCCGCCCCCCCCCCCCCCCCCCCCCCCCCCCCCCCCCGCCACACCCCAAAACCACACACCAGTAGGGGGTGGATGGTTGGGGTGCTGAAGGCAGGCGAGGAAGTGGCGGAGCCGGACCG